TGTAGCATCCCTGGCCCCGATGCAAAAACACTAGGGAACTCTCTGCACTGAGGCATTTGGTGCACGGAGGCTGCGGTGCTGCGCGGTACCTGGGGCGCTGCGCGGTACCCCGGTGCCCTGCGCTGCCGCTCATCCGCCGTCCGCCCGGGCAGGGCGGGCAGCGGCTTTTTGTCGTTTCCCCCAAAAAATATGAGTCGGAGAAAGGCAACACCACCGGTCTCCCTCTGCCCGCCTCCCGTCCTCGGAGTCAGGGGCGCTGCTTTCACTCCATCCCCTCTGCTCTGCTGGACTGGAATCTTCTTCTCCGTGTTCCCCCCCTCTCCTTCTTTTATTATTTTTATTTTTTTTTATTATAAAATAATAATAATTCTTCCACCCACYTCGAGGAAGAAACTCTTTAGGCCAATCAGATAACCCGATAATGAGCTGGAAACCCCTCTAAGCCCTGGAAATAACTTACTTTCATCACCTATTGACTGTTGGGCTTAGACGGGAACCCGGTGTGGATTTTTCGGGTCTCTTCAAGAGAGCTGGTCAATGACGAGCTAAGCCAATATTGACAGAGGCTAAGGACGAGTCACCGCCGTGTTTATGGAGGGCCCGACGAGGACAGTGAGCGCCTGGCGGCGGCGGCACCAGGGCCCTTGCGCGGGCGGCCGGGCGACTCCCGCGTGGCCTGGAGTGACCGGGACCTATGGGGTACTTGGGGCTCGGCTCGAGGGACCGGAGCCGTCGAGGACCCTCCATCCCCGCACCTACCGACGGATCCTCCACCCCGCCAAGCCAAGTGCTGCCTCTGCACGAAGGAAATTCCTCGGTGTGAGTGCAGGATGTTGCTTTCTGCATTTCGCAGAAATGTCTATGTTTTATTTTATTTTACTTTATTTTTCTCCACCTTTTCCTCCTCGTGGTGTCGGCATGCTCCCGTCCGCGGCCGCGGGGCGGCAGCAGAGCCCTTCCCGCTGCGCGCCGCTCCGCGCTGCATCGGGCGGTTCATTTATTTACTTATTTATCTATCTCTCTATATATGCACACATATTTTTTTGCAATGATTTTCTTCTTTCCCCCGCCCCAGGTGCTCTCGGGCAGCCCCCAAAGCCCCTCTTTTATCTCCCCGCAGAGGCCGGAGGGCTGCGCGGGGAGCCGCGAGGCTCCGCGCCCCGCCGGGCACCCCCGCGGCGGGGCCCGCCCGCCCCGTCGCGGCTCCCCCGCGGCGCAGGGTGGCGCTGCCGGATAAGGGACGCGCCGCGACGGGGCGGCCGTGGCTCCACCTGCCTGACAGCTCCGTTGCGGTCCTCTCCTGCCTCCCTCGTGCCCCCTTCCCTCCGATCAGCTTCCTCTCATGCCCCCTTCGTCTTTTTGTTTTGTCTTGTTTTAAATTATTATTTTTTTTAACTGCTCTCTCGAGTTGAAAGGGCCTTTGGCTACCTGCGAAGCTACCGCTGACGACCTCGTTTTGAATGCTCTCGCACTCAAAGGCATCTCCTGGTGGGAGGAGAATGCCTAAAGACTTTGAACACGTTGTTATCCAGGCTTGGAAGGCAATTTTCCTTCTCCCTTCCACTGTCTCGCTCCCTTTCATATTCTCCCATTCTCTTTTCCTTTTCCCTTTCACTTCCCCTTTCCCTTTCCCTTTCCCCTCTTTTTTTTTTTTTTTTT